CACATCCTCTGACAAACCTGCACCCAATTTTGATCTTTTGCCATATGTGCTCCAAGATGGAGACTCTCATAGTTTAGAGTTAGGACCGCACTATATAGAGGTGCCTTGACGCGGTTGTGCAGCTTTCCCATTTTCTGCAGAAGACGTGTATCTAAACTTCTGTTTTTAACCTTAGCGGTGAGAAGTTTTTTTGCATGCTGGCTGGCGAGTGTGCTGGGAAAACTTTTTGCTGTTTGTGTGTGATGTGTATCCCACAACTTTCTTTTGAAATAACTGAAAACTGACAAAAATTGATCGACATCAGTCACTGTTCATTCCGTATATTTAAAAATCAGACTTTACTTTTGTTTTTTAACTCAATGCTCAACACTTTAAATAATAAAACAAATTAAATTATTATTATTATACAGGATTTATATAGCGCCAACTGTTTGCGCAGCGCTTTACAAAATGGGGGAGACATTACAGTTACAATACAGTTTCAGTACAATGCACAACCTTTCGGGCTCCATCAACATAGAAGCGGTTGTCCGCGCATATTGGGCCGTACAAATACACATGGAACCACTCTAAACATAAAAAAAATCAAAACATTTTAATGTGCATTGTTCAGACTATTGTGGGGGACTGAGCGGTACAAAACCGGGCATCCTGAAAAATAGTCCCAAGCGTAATTTTGGGGGCGGATTCTGCACGCTCGCGGCTTTAGTAATAGCTGCAAATGAGCAGAATGCGTGCAGTTTTAAAGATTTTAGCGTTTGCGTGTCGTGCGGTTTTCCTCCGTGTATGGAGGCTAAGAGGCAATCACTACAAGCAAGTGATTTCTGTAGCCCTCAGTCAGAATTTTGCACCTGCCAACAGGTAGTTTGGCCAACTCTTACTTAGGCCCCATTCACACCTGACCGTTTTGTAGCGCGTCCTACGCTCGATGAACGCTCTACAAAACGGTCAAAAAAATAAATAGCATTGTAGTCAATGGTATCGTTCCCACCTGTCTGTATTTCTGCCCGTCCCGAACGCACTACAAAACGGCCCACGCATGAAAAGGTCCCGGAGCGTTTTTTGCTGCGTATTGGTCCGTTTTGTAGGGCGTTTTCCATTTGTATACTGCCAAGTAGCCTTTGGAATCGCGCGACGGTCGCGCGACTTTTTTACCGTGAATCGCGGTAAAAAAAACGTGTGACGGTCGCGCATATTACAATACGCATAGGTGTGAATGGGGCCTAATTGAGCAAATCCTCTGCTGTCTCAGGTTTGGAGGCTGCCTTCACCAGACTGGATGTTTCAGCTCTTTCCATAGATGTTTAATAGGCTTCAGGTCAGGGCTTATAGAAAGCCACTTCAGAAAAGAGCAATGTTTTGTTCTTAGCCATTCTTGGGTGTTTCTAGCTGTATTGGTTCATTATCCTGTTGGAGGACCCATGACGTTCAACAGAGAGCTTTCTGACACTTGGCAGTACGTTTCGATCCACAATTCGTTGACAGTCTTGAGATTTCATTGTGCCCTGCACAGATTTAAGGCATCTTGTGCCAAGAGAAAAGCCATCCCTAAATACAAAGAAGCCTCATTCATCATCTTTCACAGTAGGTATTTCATTTTCTTCTCTCTGTAAGTAGTATTGTAAACTAGTCACTGCTCCAAGCTCACTCCAGTGATGCACTACAATCTGACATTTAGTTTACTCATTTGTATTGCAATGGAGTCCATCACGGGAGTGAGCTTGGAGCAGTGACTGCTTTACAACACACCCAGGGACCATGGGGAACAAAAGAAGCCACCCTCCAGAAGGAAGGACAGTGTCAGCACCAATTCAGAGATGATTTGAGGATCTACAGCCGAGTGATACACAAATATGGTACATTTTTGTTAATAGGATACTTGAATGCATTTTTAAGATTTAGCTCCTGAGTTTAGTGTCACTTTAAAGCAGGGGTGCCCATTAGGTAGATCGTGATCTACCAGTAGCTCTCAAAGGAGAGGAGAGGCAGCCAGGAAAGAGAGAGAGGAGGGACAGCCAGGAAAGAGAGAGAGGAGGGACAGCCAGGAAAGAGAGAGAGGAGGGACAGCCAGGAAAGAGAGAGAGGAGGGACAGCCAGGAAAGAGAGAGAGGAGAGACAGCCAGGAAAGAGAGAGAGGAGAGACAGCCAGGGGAGAGAGCAAGCAGAAACGGCCAAGAGAGCTAAGAGAGAGCCAGGAGAGAAAATGAGGAATGACAGCCAGGAGATACAGCGAGAAGGATGAGCAAGGAGAGACAGCCAGGAGAAAGAGAGAGCGAGGGAGGTTTTTTTTTTCGTTGGTGGCTCTCGTGTAGCTCGTCATTTGAAAAGTAGATCCCAACACAAAAAATTGTGGGCACCCCTGCTTTAAAGGGTCAGTGCACACTAGATCAGGGCTTCTTAAAGTGTGGGTCATGAACAAGCAACTGAGTGTGGGGGGTCGCGGAGAAAAATCTGAATCCCAGACAGGGATCGCCAGGGTGTCTGGACACGGTTGTGTGTGATTTGGCACCTGTGGGGTCCGCCGTCGCGGTGGTGTAAAGGACACAGAGCTAGGGTTGTACCCTGGTACGGTCCCGGCCCCAGGCCCCCCCTGTAGTATTGGTACCTTCCAATGTACATGTGGGGGGGGCGGGCAGCTTGCCTTTTAGCCAGCTGCAGAGCAAGGTGGGACTCGGTCGGGAGCGGAGGCTGCTGAAGTGGGGCTGGGTTAGCAGGGTAACGCAACACAGAGGTTCTTCTAACCCGAGTGATACATTAATATGATACGTTTTTGTTAAAAGTGAATGCATTTTTTAAGATTTAACTCCTGAGTTTAGTGTCACTGTAAGCTAGAATTCTCGATTACCGGCAATGAGATCAAGTTTTAGGATAGGTTAAAAATGTTCGCTTTTGTTTCCATTATTAGTGAAACGAGTATGAAATGGGCATCAGTCTGCTTAATGGAAGCACGAGTCAAAACAAACTGCAGTATTGATTGCACTGGATGAGCAAAACCGAATTGGATGGGAGAATTCCAACCTTAACCGAATAGAACGTGAGCTCTCTTCAGTTTTTAACAGCCAAGTGAAGGTTTAGTTTGTTTTTAATTGCATGAATTTTCTACACAATACACAAAATACAGTCAGCGCTGGCGGATCGGAGGGGGGAATCCAGCCCCTCCCCTGTCACGGCAGAGAGCCGTGACAGGATCGAGAGGTGAGCGAACCCGGTATGTGTTCGCTCACTTCCCGATCTACTGAGCCGACCTGTGACAGTCTCATTGTCACAGGTTGGCTAGAACTATGAGGTGAGTGAAAAACACTCGCCTCATAGTTCTCCTATAATAGGGTACTTGAATGTATTTTTAAGATTTAACTCCTGAGTTTAGTGTCACTTTAACTTAGCTGAGGTAACCTCTGTTATATCCATAGCGTTCATGAAACAAGCAGTGCGTCTGTACTATATCTGGGTGTTTTAGCTAAATGCCAAGCACGGAGCAAGTGTATTTATTTCTCTTAGTATGTATATGTTGCGTAACTGGGTCAGACTCCTCATAAAATGTTTTAGGTTTCATGGTTAATGTTCTGAGCTGTTGCAGTTCATCTCTGTGTAGCGGAAAATCAAGGTATTGTTTTAATAGAAGCTGCTGAAATGACTAAATGTATCCCATTAACATATTTACATTCTTTCTTTGTAATGGAAGAACTTAAAGCCCAGCGGCAGCCAGCACAGGATAGCGTGGAGAGGGGACAGAACTTCTTTGCTATTTGTGTCACTGTAGCATACATATCCTTTTACTCACTTCATTACATGCTGATGGGTGATGCAGGGATTGAAGATTAGGGGAACTATCTATTGGGAAACAAAGAGTAATAACTTTTTAGTACTGGCTGGGGTTAGAAAAAGTTTAAGGGCAAACTTTTGGACCCTTGTCAGCTTTTTATGGTCTGTGCCATCATCTTATGATGGCAGTTATAATCTTTAAAGCTTATCTCCTGGAAAAAGAAATTCCCTTTGCAGTGGGGCTACCCCTGCACTGCAAGCATTACCTGCTTGTTAATGTCTAGGGCAGTTTTTCTCCGCCTTTTCAAGGGGAACCCCATGCAAAAACCCACTAAGGAGTGGGTTTTCCCCTTCACAGCGAAGTGCCCCCTTCAAATCAAGTACTATCCTTGTCGCACTCCTTACCGATATGTCCCTTGTAGTGGGGGGTGCTCGCAGTGACCGCGGATGGCGCCGCGAATGTCAGCAAAAATGTAGAAATGTCACCAGCACACCAATCCTTTTAATATAGCAAAAGCTTAATTTATTGAAGTTTTTTGTCATATGACCAAACAAGCGCTTTCGGGACCGCGCAGGGTCCCTTTATCAGTCTTTAGCAATGCTCAATATCTAATGCTGAAGCCTGATGAAGGGACCCTGCGCAGTCCCGAAAGCGCTTGTTTGGTCATATGACAAAAAACTTCAATAAATTAAGCTTTTGCTATATTAAAAGGATTGGTGTGCTGGTGACATTTCTACATTTTTCCCTTCAAATCAAGATCCCCCCCCTTCACATCATAGTCACCCTTTGCATCAGTAGCCACTTCTTTCATATTCGAGTTCCCTAGGATTGAGCCATAAGTGGTACCTCCTCAGTGGTGATAATTGTATATACAAGTTGTGTGTGTGTGTGTGTGTGTGTGTGTGTGTGTGTGATGGATCTTGCCTATGTTTTTCCTTTTTCAGGAATGCCTGTCTACTACACGAGACCTTTTATTAAGCAATATATTGATTTTGTTGCAGTTGAGGAACAGCTTAAGGTTTTGTAAATTTTTTTCTTTTTTTGTGACATTCCCAGACATGCAACGTTCGGGCTCACACCTTTAAAATCAACAGCCCTAACAGACATCTGACAGCACTGTGCTGAGGAAGGAATCCTGCACTTAACCTTGTATTCTACGCCACTCCCATTGTAGAGGAGTCATCAGGAGGGAGCTAAAGTGGGTAGGACCTCACTACTAAAAAAAATCTCCAACCAGATGTCAGACGCCGGTGGACAAGAAGAACTGGGGGTTTTCTATATATAGTATTTTTTTCTTTTTGTCTCAATTGTTGGCAAAGATGTTTTCCTGTCCCAATGTCATCATCACCTTCTAATTCACCACAAAGAAGCTGTAAAGTTGGAATCTTAACTTCCAAGCGGAACCTCCAAAACAAACGGAACACTTTGGAGATGAATGAAAATCTGAACACGCAATATGAGGGCTTTAACAGCAACGGACAGCAAGGTCAAGAGCGGGCCACCTCCACATTTGAACTGAAACACGACGTAATGATTAACACGGGATCCCCCCGGCCGGGCATCAATCTAGACCCCCGAATGTCCATCTACAGCACCAGGAGACCTTTGCTTTCAAGGACCCATCTACAAGGCAGAGTTTATAACTTTTTAGAAAGGCCAACGGGATGGAAGTGTTTTGTGTATCACTTTACAGTGTGAGTAGACCTTTTACTTTTCTTGGTGTTTAATATTTTTTTCTTGCGTAGTGTTAAGTAGAACAACATCAGTTAAAATGTATTTTGATTGTTAAATTTCCCTTGATACCTCGGAAGAGGGCGCTATCCTTGTTCGTTACTGTGGTTCTGGTAGAAAGTTGGGTTTGGTCGTAAAGGGCCCTGATGGCTTGCTGAGATGTTCTGCCCCCTTGTTGATTTTTACAAGCCAATTGAATGTGTAACTGTTTAGAGGATTGGCCTGTGGCATTGCCCTGTACACTCTAGTACCTGCGTTACGGGCTGCCTTGTTTCTGTTTACGAGATTAACTGTACAGCAGATGCATGCAATATCAAAAGGGGTGCAGGGCCAATTGGCTGGTTGTCGCACACTGATACCCTTTGCCTCCCAGCTGCAATGTTCCTTTTACCTGGTTGTAAAGTGGCCCCTCGAGAATATCTGTCTACTCCATTCCGGTACCGAAAAAAAACGGACTCCCATTGTGCCGCTCTTTATAGCATCGCTACCATCTATAGCTTCTAATACACAGGAAGATAATCAGCATGCATAAATTGTCTTAAAGTGCATCTGTACTGTGCTGTACTAAGCCAAGCAAATGTACAGCAGGAGTTAAATGCAGGCATCTACTGGTACTTGCATGTACATTCAGTAATCGGCCTGACTGCGGCTGGGTGCTCAGCTATGCCAGCACTGACTTCAGCTATTGCTTTGGCTATTCTTTCCACCTAACTAATCACTGACCAATAGAGAACTGTGGAGGGTAGGAACGGGAAGACCAAAGCTCTACCTTCAGGTTTGCAGGACCTCAGATATCTGAGCTAGATAGCTAAGTGGAGATCTTTCATCTTTGTGGATAGTGTTTGGTATATTCCTGCTGACCTAAAGCATAACATACAGTACATCTATGCACATTTTTTACCTTTTTCGTTCTTGCTGACATGCCTTTTGTTCTTCCAATAAAGGCAAGTCCTTCTGTTGTGTTGAATTCATTTATGAAATAACCACAATATGAAATCTGTAAAAGGTTGCTAATTGTATGAAGACAGTTTCCAGTGAACCTTAGTGACCCCTCATACTTGTGTTTACAGCAAAGATGAATTCTGATTGGCTATAGGTCACAGCACATGCTGCTAAATCACATACGTTTGGGAAATAACATCCCACGCTGTCATGCATCTCATTCTTTCAACTCTTTCTGCACCCCCCCACCCCTCCTCCCCAAACATTGCAAGCATAGTATTTTTTTAATGAGGATCTCTAGAGCTTTAAGTGCTTAGATTCTTTGTCTGCGCTATGTAGCTACCAATGATAAATACATTTTTGACCCCCAATACCGAATACAGCATAAGGAAAGCCAGCTTTATGCTGTTTGGCCGGCTCGATGCTGACTAGCTAGGACGCTGGCTTCGAGCCGGTCAAACAGCATGGAACCAGCTTCCTGGGCAAACAAGAAGCCGGGCAACGGGTAATGACTCGCCGCCCAGCTTCCTGATTGGCTTCATGCTAGCGGAAGTATCGGTATCGATACTGGGGACCAGCGAGTACCGAAAGATAAATATCAGGACTCATACTCGATACTGAAAAAACGGTATCGGTGCATCACTATTGGGTGGGAAAATGTATATGGAGTTTAAGAGCCAGTCTGCCCAATACAAGAACCAGCGTGATTATTTTTTTTAGGCGTCAGCTCCATTGACTGCAACTAGAGATGTTGCTGGTTAGGCGCCAGCTATCATTTTTAAGATACATTGGCTACCTGGCTCTTGGGATTTGTCCAGCTCTGATATATACTCCTGTGAGTGTGTATATATGCCAAAACTTTCTATTTGGATTTCGCATATGATCTTTGTAAAATCTGCGTTTTTTTTATAAAAATGTTTTTAATAGGTTTGTATACTACAGAGTTGGGCACGTAGATTGTACAATCAGATTGTAACATGTTGCCAGCTAAACACCTGTTAAAGATGACTTCACCAATATCCTGACCTAAGTGATTCTGCCTTTACATCCTGGGAAAGGGAGGCAGAGGTCCTGTTTATAATGGCCAGGAAGTAAGACAACTCTATACTTCCTCTTTGGCGCATTATTATCTAGGAAATGAGGAAGCAACATCAGAATGACATCCCTTGCTCCTCCCTAAAGTAGTAGTGGATTAGTTAAAGGAAATCTGTCATGAAAGAAACAAGAAGGTTGCCATTACTGAACTCTCCTTTTTAATGTGTGCCTGGCTGCTAAGTCAGTCCCCTGGCTTCAGTACTTTTAATCACTCACTGAGACCAACTATGAGGTCTGACTTTTGGCTCAGCATATAACTGCCAGTCCAGTAGTATTTTCAGAAGGTCTTCAGAAATGGAAGCTTACCTTGCTCATGACAGGTTTACTTAAAGGTAGAGTGAGCAAGATAGCGTTAGGTTAGCTTGCATATGATGTAGGTAATCTCATTGTTGGTATAAATCCTGGGGAATAAGGTGTATGCTAAAGAGCACATCTTGCTGGTCTCTCCTTCTGCACTTGACTTTGTGTGTGTGTGTGTGTGTGTGTGTGTGTGTGTGTGTGTGTGTGTGTGTGTGTGTGTGTGTGTGTGTGTGTGTGTGTGTGTG